GTTCTTGATTTTGAGACGTCATTTCCATCAATTTCTTTTGGAGCGCAGACTTTTCTGCATCGCCAGAAGTCAAATTCCGCCTCAATAAGTGGATTTCCGCATCATTAGCCTTCTGCGTGAGAGTGTGATCCTCAAGTAACCTCGCATTGGCTTGCCTTTGCTCCTCTAGCTCTCGTTCCATGGCGCTTTTTTCCGCATTTGACAGGGTTATCGTGCCGTTGAGCCGTTGTTCACGTTCCGCGGCATCCCTCGCAGCTGCCATTAACTCATGCGCTTGAGTTTCCAGCGCCCAGTTCTCGTCCTTGTAACGTTGCTCACTGTCATCGAGTGCCCGGATTCTTTGTGCATACCCCTCTGCCTCCAATTCAAGTCGTGATTTTTCCAGATTAACAAACTTGAGTGTCTCATCCCGTTCTGCAAGAAGACCTTGCAGTTGGCGGACCTGGGCCAAAAGTGAAGTCGAGATCTCAGTCGCAAATTCGATATCGTGGACACGGTTTGATGGTTGATTGCGCTGCTTGCGAGAGGGAACGCTGACTTTGCTAGGGGAATTTGTGGCTTGACTGGCAAACAAAGCGGGGCTTAGGGGTGACTATCAGAACTCGATGTTAGTTTGGCTAGAAATCGGACCAGGGTCAGATGTAAGAGCCAGGCAGTACCTTTTGATCGAAAGATGGCGTCCCAAGCTGAGCATCCTCCTGGCCTCCGGCAAGACGTTTGGGTGCCAAAAATGCACGTGCCGACTCACGGCCGATCTCATTGTACTCCTTCTCCAAATCTGCAAGTTTGCGTCGCAGTTCCGGGCCCATCTCTCCCTCATTCTGCTCCTGCTCGACCTCCTTCAACTGCTCTGATAGCTGCCGCTGCTGATCGATAAGGGCCGTTCCTAGCCTAGAAGCCTCCTCCAGTCGACGCTCCGTCTCCGCCAAGTGGGCCTCGAGGGCCCGTTTAGCCTGTGCTGGCGAAGATGCATTCAGGCTGTATAGCTGTGTATCAAAGCGATTGGAGTCGCGAGGGACAGCTGGCCTTCCGGAATTCGCAACGAAGGGGTCTTCCATGGACGCAAATGACCCGGTGGCCTCGGCGTTGGATGCGGTCATGATTTGGAAATCGGGGGCCTCAAACGGCATCTGAATCCCCTTAATGATGAGGACACAGTTGCCGTTGAGATATCGGGGACTCGTGGGTTGATCTTTGTTCTGATTCTAGGCCGCGAGCATCATCCGAATCACCGCACTCGGTCAAAACTGTTGTCGCAAGATGACTGCCGTTGAGATATTTGCCGAGCCGACCAGCGACCAGAGGTTGTTGGAGGGTTTTCGAGATTACCACACGCTAATGTTGATGTTGATGCGATAGGCGTGGAACGGCACACCGTTGAAATATCGTGGGAAGGATGAGGAGGGGAAGCCCACACGATTAAAAATAACAAACACCGAGGACCTTTGGACGAATCAGTGAGCTCCCAGTCAGATTGGCCACCTGGGCAGACACGCGCGTAGGGATGCAACTAACCACAACAAAGTGCTCGGGATCTGTAGGACCTTTGGAATCGGCCTCAGTGTGTTGAATAAAGGAAGGACAAAAGAACAAAGGGAAAACAAAAGGACAGCTAACTAAAAAAAAAGAATGGAAAAAAAAAGAAAGGGAGCGTAGGGAGTGATTGGACAGGTCGAGTTTGAATGACTCGGCGGGGGAGAAAAGGGAAGAGAAGAACGAGAGTGAGCGAACGTGCTGTTGTGTTATTGCCAATTGGCGCCGGTGTTTGAGATTCACGATCGATAATCACCCCAGACGGGGAGAGACGAATCTACGATGCTAGGCTATATTATTTGATCTAAATTGGGACCTTCAAATTTACTATAAAACTGTAAAAACAATAGGAAGTGCTGATTCGATAGGTTCCTGCGTGTGTTTTGTTGCGATTTTCGCTATCAAACGCGTCCCAAAGTGAGGATGTGGTTTGTATTGTTTGCATTTGTCAGCTTAGTCATTTCTCGGCCGTTCCATATCCAATATTGGAAATGCGCGCATCTTTACAGCCTTTGAATCTAACACAATTGCTTGAACATCTACGATTAATCCTCACCAATAACCAACACACAATATGGGCGAAGAAACTAAAGTTGCAGACGCCGTGCCTCAAGTCGCTTTCAAAAAGCGCTCCAAGGGGAAAGCCAACTTTCGCAAGAAGCCCGCGACGCCACCTCCTGCTTCTGACTCCGACTCCGACTTTGTATCATCCGATGATGACGAAGGGCGACGGATCAAGAAGGGACGCAAGAATGCGGCTGTCACAGCATCATCCACATTAAATGCGACAAGGAAACAACGCCCAGAAGACGGACCTACCACCGCGCTTCCCGCTCCATTGACCTCAAGCAACGATGCCACAAAGGCTTCCAACTGGTACGATGAGAACCTGAGCGAGAAGAACTTATTGGGCACAACTCGGGAAAAACCAGTCTCCTCTGCCTCACAGCCGGACGGAACCTACAAGGGCGCCGCCAACTACCAATCTTTCATTCAGAAAAACCCCGATGCGCCGGGGAAATTCGGTCCTGTCAAAGCGGCGACCAACGTTAGGACTATCACAGTGACGGATTTTGCCCCCGATGTGTGCAAGGATTGGAAACAAACTGGCTACGTGAGTTATTCCCTCGCCTCCATCTGTCTATTGTGAATCGATACTAATTCATCTGAATTTAGTGTGGCTTCGGAGAAAGTTGTAAATATCTCCATTCTCGCGAGGCATACAAAGCAGGATGGGAACTAGACCGTGACTGGGAGGTCAATACCAAGGGCAGACAATTAAGCGGGCGAGTAGTTTCACAGAGGAAAGGCGCGGGCAAAATCGCCGAGGAAGACGATGATGACGACGAGGATGAATTGCTAGAGAGCATCCCATTCGCCTGCCTCATATGCTTGAAGCCCTATCAAGAACCTATCATCACCAAATGTGGGCACTATTTCTGTGAAGCCTGTGCCCTGCAGCGGTATCGGAAAACTCCGTCGTGCGCTGCCTGCGGCGAGGGAACTGGGGGTGTCTTCAACGTCGCAAAGAAGTTGAATACTTTGCTGAACAAGAAGCGGGAACGTGCGCGCAAGATCCGAGAGGAGGCGATTGCAAATGGGGAGGAGGTTAGCGATGAAGAAGGTGATGGTCGTGATTAGAGGGGAAGGATCTCCGTGTAGCATAATATAAACAAAAGAAGCAGCTGGACTGCAACACTTGGACTCCGGGAATGCATCATAACTTCTTGATTTCACTGTTGGTTATCTCTATGACCTTGACGTTAAGTATTTCATATGTGTTTACAACATAGACGGGGAAGCATAGCATGCAAATCAGCTGATTCCCTACGTTGTATGTTGTAGTGTATAAATTAGAATTGGACCTGGTAATATTTTGTAGCCAGAGTGGGTGGCACTGTATGTATAGGTCTCTACTTGCGGCCCGTGTGCCAGGGGCGTGATCATTCACCAGATTAATCCATGGTGACTTCCTATTCAAGTAATCCGTATGACAGCCATACGCTAGTTCAAGCCAAGAGTAAACACCGGGATTGCCAAGATCAAAACCAAGAAATAATATCGAACACGCAACATGCAAATGTTCAGCGTAGTCGGTATCCCTCCGCCACTCAACTCCGAGGATATATGTTGTACATTATCACAAAGATAGTTGAGATGACGCATAACAATAAAAATGGGCCCGGGCCTTCTGAATGGCTCGCTTGAACACATCGAGGCTCGCAAGTGTCTAGTGCAACATCCTATGAGGAACTGATCTACTCCGTACCCTCAAAACATTCGCCTCTTGTCTCTTGGCTTATATTGCATTATCAACCCTCTGACCCCATGCGCCTAGAAACGTCATTACGATACGATACAGATTGCAGTACCGCTGATCGGCCAATGCTAATTCTGTCACAGCCACCCACTGCGACCAGAGAACCCACATATGTTGGGACCCTGAATCTTTCAAAAGTCCGTGCACCTATGAAATCATACCAAGGAATGCGAACTGTTTCCATGTCTTCCCCAAGTACCTATCTTGGTAGGCTGTGCATTGACAGAAAGAATCAAGGCAGCCGACTAAAGGCTATTCCAAAACAATTTAGAACTTGCAATGAAGCGAGACAGCCCCACTTGAGATGCGAGCCTATCGAATAATAGTCTGTGGAGGAATACGTACGGTACCATTCCCATTGCAGCATCGCTTTCCCTATTATAGAAGGTTTTAGATTAGCAGTCCCAAACCCAACGCCACGTGCATTTCCGTGGTACAAGAAAAACACGCGTTGTTGCCGCGGTGGACTCCAGAATTACATCCATACATGGTAGTAACCAAGTTGAATGTCGTTGCCTACGTCTACTCCATACACAAAGTAAATGGGATTGTCTTGAATTCGTCAAGCCTTGATCCCGTCCATCCATGGCTCAAGCGTAAACTCTACAGTTGAAAAGGGGCAAGCGTGCGCCCCAGGCCAAGCTTTTTGGTTTTCCCCCAACCAAAAATGAAATCAAATAAAATCAAATAAAATCAAAATCAAAATACCAAAACCCAAACGCCCCTTGGCATCAAACTAAGGGCGGCTCCCCTGAGTCTACGCCTCAGTGGCCAATGATATGATCATGACATTGTGGGAAAAAAAAACGGGTCAAGTCCAGGAAGCTCCCCTCTTTTCAATTTCACTTTATTTTCTTTCTTTTCACTTTGAACGGGGTACTCTTACCGTTCCCTTAAATCCTTACTACCTCGGCCCCCTCGCTCCTTCATTACTTCGACACCGCACCTTCCTTTCCTATCGTTTTGTTTCTCGACTTTGCTTTCAGGGGCGTTTGGAATTTGCCCTCCTTTTTTTGCATCCCTATTATACATCGGAAACAGTATAACTATTAATGGCTTATTAGTCCATCCTCTGCCTTGATTTCACACCTACGGGTACATCTCCGCAGATTCCCCGGGGTTCAATCCCTACCATTCATCATTCATAATGAAAGGCGGACTCCGTATCGCGGGGTTCTGCGTCTCGTGTCTCGTTCTATTCTCACTATATCTACTCGAAGCGCATCTTCAAGACATTTGCAATCAATATCGCGCTGGCGCATACGTGGTCAATTGGCTTGATCGCAATGACACGACTTCAAGCCCGCATGGTGACACCACGCCGGGTGATAAGGTGATTGTTATGGCGAAGCTAGAAGAAGAGCATACTGAATGGGTGGAAGAAGAGCTTCCCGAGTGAGTGCTTTTGATATCTAACACTTCGCTGAAGATCCACTAGTTGACTTTCTTTCTCTCTAAACAGCTGGCAACGGGCAATCTACATTGTCAACCCCTCGCACGAAACACGACTAAACCCCGACGCTCTTACGACCCCGTTCAACAAAGGCCACGAAGCCATGGCCTACTTCACCTATATAATCGAATACTACCACACCCTTCCCTCAACCATCGTCTTTCTCCACGCCCACCGTGCAGGCTTCCTTATGGCATGGCACGTCGATGCCCCACTCCACGACAATGTCATCGCCATGCGCAATCTAAATCTCGATTTCGTCCAACAGAACGGCTATGTGAATCTTCGCTGCAATTGGAATCCCGGCTGCAAGAACGCCCACCGCTCCAATGCCCATGTCACCGACCAGATCTGGTCGGATGTCTTCGCCGGCACGAGTACGCCACCCTTGAATACTTCCTCGTCCACGGAGCAGGAATTCGCGGGCCAGAGATATCTTCGTAAGCCTGCCGAGATTGGTGCTGCATGCTGCGCGCAATTCGCCCTCTCGCGAGATCAGGTTCAGAAGCGACCGCTGGAGGATTATATCAAGTTTCGGCAATGGATTATCGATACGGAACTTAGCGACGCTTCGTCCGGGAGGGTGATGGAGTTCTTGTGGCATGTCATTTTTGGTATGGAAGGGGTATAGTAAGTTATGGTCGATCATGTTTCGGTGCAATATTGAACTAACTGTCTTTCGCAGTTGTCCCGAGGAACGGATGTGTTATTGTCAAGTCTACGGACAGTGTTGAATTTCCCTCTCGGTTTGAGAATTCTCACCCAAATCCAGCGACAACTCCCAGGCTGGTATTTACATATCGTTGGGTACATGACGTTACATTTTCACTTCCCTTCCAGCACACACCATTTTTCGTCATCATGTCAAATGATTTTTGCGACAGTACAAACATCCACTTAGAATTCAGCCCCCCCGTTTTGTCGCACAGAACTTGGGGTTCTCAGGGGCCTTTCTTTTTTTTATAAATTATAATTGCGTTCAAGCGCCGAAGACAAAGTTCCTCACGGACATACTCCATCACTTTTATCGATGGACTTCTGGACAATCAGAGTACATGAAATGTATATTCTTACCATTGTCTTTCTCACTTCTCATACAACTCATACCATTCATATTTCCAGATGTTCGACGCCACTATCAAAATGACTACATGCTCTAATAACCATCAGGTGGCCAAAACATCTCATCATTCTCATCATTCAAGCTTGATATCTAATTCTATCAGCAAGCTGCCAAACCCAACACAGCTACTAATTACTAGCGACAGTCCGAATGCACTGCTTCAGATACCTATCCACCCTCTGCACATCACCAAGACAAGCAACAACGCCAACATACCCATCGGGTCTGACTACCACCAATGCGCCCTGTGCCGGGTCTACACCATAGATACTATACACATCATCTAAAGCTGACCCATCATAGAAGCGCATTTCAGCCTGCTGCTTCACACACGTCGACATGTCATTCCATTCAAAGGACCGGTGCAACTGGGGATGCAGTATGATCTGCTCAATAATCGACTTGGGGAACTGCGCTTCGAGCAGAGCGACAGCTTCCAGTGTCTGCACAGAGACACTGCTTCGATCAAGAAGATCGGTCGACGTGAGACATAAGATGCGGAATCGGCCAGTGGAGGGAATATCTGTGGGGTTTTGATTAGATATGACGTCCCACCCGAAATTTCCATCTGGCTTGACATACCGTCATGAATATCCCGTTGGCACCCATCCGCATGCCGCAGTAATCGCACATTGAGCAACCTCCGGCCTGGTCTCAGGATGCCGGATATGTAGTCCGTTCCTATGACGGGGTTTGGGCCCTTGCTCTGGATATCAGCGTCTAGCTCATCTTGGATAACTAGCATGTTCTCCGGGTATTCCACGCCACAGCCGCTGGTGAACCCATTGCCGAGCTTGAAGGCCTGTTGGAACTCTTCTTGTGTCAGTCCTTCAGTTGCGCCCATTTGGCCCGAGAACATAGTAGAGAACTTCCGGTCGAAGTCGATGAGCTGTTGGGCTATTTCGTGGCGTTCTGTCTGGTATGTCTCGAGTAATGAGGCTGGGCTGTTGGGGCCTGTTGGTTCTGGTGCGAGCCCGTTAATGTGATACAGGAGTTTCCAGGCCAGGTTGTAAGAGTCCATCATCGAGACATTCATGCCTTGGCCAGCCTGATGAGATGGAAGTTAGTGATATCCTTGAGGAAAGAGCTGTTGTGGATACTTACTTTCGGACTGTGTGTATGGCAGGCTATAAATATGATATTAGTTCAAGGCCATGCACTCTCTTCAAAGTGAACTTACCATCTCCAGCAATGAAAACTCTTCCTACACCCTTTGAATCATTCACAATAAACTCAGGCGAGACACGCTGGCCAATTTGATACGCAGCCCACCAGTCGACAGCATCCTCCTTGGGCCGAAGAGAGTATGGCTTGATCGCCTCGGCGGCCTGTTTCAGAATCCCCTCGAGGGTAACCTTACTTCTCCGCTGCCGAGCATCCTCGGCCTTAATGCCCTCTACTCCATTCGGCGTTTGATCACTCCCGGGAGCCACATCCCCCGGAACCTGAACATACAACCGAGTGAGGTATTCACCTGTGGAGATCCTCTCTCTAGGAATAATCATCACAGAACCAGCAGGTGAATGAATAGCGCAGCGACGACGGATATCCGGGAAATCCGTGTCAGCAACCATATCAACCACCCCCCAGATATGATCCAAAGATTCTCCTTCCAACCGCAGCCCCATACACTGCCGAACCACCGAATGCGCCCCATCAGCACCAACAAGATGCTTCGTGCGCACTACCTTCCCCACACCATCCGTAGCCATAGTCACAAGCACGGGGAACTCCGCATCACCCTCTTCATCAATCTTGACATCAATAACTTTCGTGTTCCGCACAACCCCGCGCTCCGAGTACCGCAGCAAATCAGTTTCCATGATACGCTCGATGCGGCCCTGGTGGATGGTAGCCTCATAGCGGAACCGCGCCGGAGGAATAACCTCCGGGACGACGGAAGTGCGCTCAATCACCTTGTTTGGGTCGGGTGAGGGGTTCCAGAATGCGAATTGCCACATCTGACACGCTTCGTTCTCGATCTCGGTTGAGATACCAAGCGATTTGAAGACCTCCAGTGTGCGGGGCTGCACGCCGTCCGCTTGCCCTGATTTCAGAGCGCTTGGTTTTGCGTCTATACAGAGGAGGGATGTATCGCTGAGACCATAGCGAGAGAGGAGGAGGCTTAGCATTAGGCCTGCTGGTCCGGCCTAGATATTTATATTAGGGGTTTCTTTTTCGTTTGAATGTTGGATACTTGAATACAATTCTGATATTCGGGAAATTGTTGGAGACCACATACGCCGACGACGACTGCTTCGTATTTGTCTTCCTTTTTATCATTGCGCTCGAATGGGGGTGCTAGTCGGGGTAGTGGTGGTGCAAATGAGGGTAGGGCTCTCAAGTCCCGGGATGAGGAGGAATGTTCAGTGAAGACAGGCATTGCGTTTCTAATTCTAGAAGCAGGGCATTTGGGAATTGCTACTCGAAATAATACCAGCTATACTTATAATGTAGTCTTGATTTGGGTTGTTTTTACGGGGTAGAGCTACAGTCCCCCGCGATCCTCATGCGGGGGGGGCGGACCTGTTCATCCCCCACGATTTGTGATGATTAGCAACAACTACGTTTATTGTGATTGGATCGAGGCTAACAGATAGTTTCCCAGGTTGTGTTGAGAATTCACCTGCAGGAAAGGTAAGAGTTCGGATATATATATACGAGGCATCTGTAACTTTGGAAAAGAAAGCCATCATCAAGATAATACTATAAGATTAAATAAGATAGTAACTAATGTCTAAAGCTGAAATATACCGAATCCCACCGAATCCCACTTATTGTTTACCCAGATAAGATTCTCCCATTGTCGTGAGATACCAATCCCTCGCCTGAAGTTTGTAGGTGAACTAGCGTCCCACATAGTGGAGCTTCACCCCGCAAGATGTTGGGGGGGGGGGGGGGGGTGAGAGACAATTAGATGTGGGCATCGGTAGTCATTGCTATATAAGCATTTAGTAATTTGAAAGTCCTAAAATAGATTCATTATATCGCGATTGATTTGTTGATAGTTCGCCCTGGACTTAGTATGCAATAAGAAAATAACAAAAACACCGATTTATCCATAAGCACCCTTACCCTCATCCAACACCGTAGAAAGCACATTGGCAAAAGCCTGAGAAATCCCCCAACGCCCACCCCGCTGTAGCAAGTCAATCATGCCATACAACTGATCCAAATCTGTAACCACAGAAAGCTCACTACTTTGAGCATTCTCAGGAAAGCATGCAACCTCCGCAACCCCCTCACCCAGCAACTTGAGTTCCGGCGATGCAAATGCCTCCGTGTTCACGACATGTTTGGGCGCGTACTGTGCAACACACAAGTATATCAATGCCGCCGAAAATAGCGCACGGGGTACATGTATTGCTGGCTCGGCGGATATACTCATGCGCTCGAGAGACCGGGCAATCAGTGATGCGTGCACGAGACAGCGGCTTGCATTCAGAGAAGAGGCCCATTCGCGTGCCGGTGCTGATGCTTCCAGGACTGGGGCTCGGCCGTCGCGGCCGACTGCTTGTTCCAGGAGGTCCATGTCTGCGTACAGCGATATGAAAATGGAATGCCATAATACGGGTAGACAGAATGGATCTTGGTCCGTTGTATGGTATGTCTGCCACCACTGGATCAGGAGGTTGGAGGTATTTTGGCAGACTAGCTGGTTAAATTCTTGAGATTGTTTGGCATCTATGAGGCGAGCGCTGATTCCTTCAAGGACTCCATATGCGGTGAACCTAGAATCGTGGTCTGTGACTGGGAATGGATCTGGCGACCGAGAGATTTGAGCTTGGGGTCGATTTTCACTCTGGGTTTGAAGAGATTGGCGGATAAGTACGGCCCATTGAGACGACGTAGCTGCTGAGAACAATTCATCGGATGCTAGACGGGGAAACTGATGGAATCGATGACTGCGAATTGGCTCGTGGTGATATAAAGCAGCAAGCTCGGCGTCGTGGATATTTAGTGCGGCTTGTACTCGAGCACGTTGCTCGCTATCAATCCACCTATGCCAGCTTCTTTCAATATCTCCTGTGTTCAGCATATCTTGTGACTGGCTGCAAAGAGCACCTAGTCGATTTGCTTCACGGGCCCATGAGGCAACTGTCCCGTGCAATACATCTGCCAGAACGAGATACTTGGGCTTTCCAGCTAGAATAGCATAGGTTTGCCCCAAAATAGCAGCTTGTACCATGGACAGGGCATCTGGTCGGCTTTCTGACAGGAAAGATTCCCACGATGCCAGAATGGCTTTGTTCAGTCGCTCAAATATTCGTGAGCCTTGAGCCACTGCGCGGGAAGACCCGACGAATAAGCTGCCAATGGAGCAAATCGACAAGAATAATAGAGAGTTTCCCGCCGTTGGCCGGAACGAGGGAGCATGGATGACTGGTAATAAAGGATGAAACCGATGAAAATACAATTTGGCAAATAGATTCAGTTGTTCCGAGGATGGCAATGCCTCATCTTCTATAGGTCGACGGAGCTTCTGAGACAAGCCAGCTCGGTATGATTCATTCGCATTCGTCTGTCCTGACCAGTTTGTTCCTGTGGGGACAATTTCTCGATTGGGCCGATTCTCGTCAGACGGTGACATATGGGTAAACCATTTTCGTTTGACTGTGTCCCCGGCTATATTTGGAGCTTCAATATCTGGGATAGAGCTTTGAACGGGGGTAGAAACGTCATGTTGTCCCGTAGACAGACCTACTGCGGGAAACACATTTGGGATCTGCGCCCATTCGGATATTGTTGACGTTATTGAAAAGTCAAGCGCACTTACATCAAAATCATCTTCAAGGAACCACGCCCCGGGTCCTGAACTGGGAGATGTTTCACCCATACCAATTTGTGTAGATCCAGTGGGTTGTCCAAAATCAACAGTATTGGTATGGAGAATGCTCGGTACATCCACATTTACAGACACTTGTGGGGAAACATGAGTTACTGATCCCCCCGAGAAAGCCCTGAACGAATCAGCTGCGGATGGGGGTGTGAGCATCGCAGAACCGTCAGCGAATCCTTGTGGGGATACAGTGGCCAAGCTGTCAAGTTGAACACTATGGCTTCGCTCATGCCGACGCAAGACATCACTAACAACGTTAGCACACAAACTGACTATGTTAGGAATATCTCGTACCTCCGCGAATATAGTTTCCCACAGACAGGGCATACAAATGGCCTTTCCTTGGTGTGACCACGAATATGTCTAGTGAGATGCTCTTTTTTGGAAAATGTCTTATTGCATGTATGACATTTTTTATCATCTCGTGGCCGTGTCCTCTCCATATTCTCAGTAGTAAATGGTCTTCAAAGTTAGCGGCCGGGTGATTTTGTCGCAATATAGGGACATGGATCAGAGGAAGAAAGAACATCAATTCCCAAGTGCGCTGAAAAGAAACACTCCGAGTAAATATTCTGGGTTGATTTTACTTGTCAGGATTGTTTTCTCCCAGAGCAATCTGCGAGTTGTTGATGATCAAGTCTGGGGCTCCCCCCACTTCCCCACATACATTTTCGGCATCAAACGGCAGTTAAGTCAGCTATGGGAGTTTTTTTTTTTTTTTTTTTTTTTGGCCAAGGGGTATGTTTTTTCTCTAGTTGAATGATTGCTGGAGGCATTTTATAGCATATTGGATAAAGAATATTGATTCATTCAAAATGACCATGGCCATGGCCATATGTAAGCAGGGAAGTAGGATACACTCGTAATTCATTAATCGGGCCCCCGGATCCCGCACCAAGATGATCCCAAGCAAAATTCAATCAACGTTTAGAACTTTTTCTCAAAGTACTGCTCAACTCGGTCTACAAGATCTGCTTTCTTCCCTGCTGTAGCGCGGCCGCGTGAATGTAAGAATTCCTTCAGCACGACCACCGTAAGCTAAACGCGAGTATTAGTTTGGTCTATTACCTGAGAGAATCTGAATGCTCACCTTGGAAACAGTGCCCTTCTCATAGCATTTCTTCACTTCGTCTTCTACTCCAGAGGCGCTGTCTTCAACCTTCACTCGCTTTGCTGGGTGCTCACTAGTAGGCTCGGTCTTGGCACCTCGCTTTACCAGCGTAGACGTGGCTGCTGAGCTGCCAAACATCTCGGAGGCTTGCAATTTCAATTCCTCGGCCCATTTAAGGATGTAGTCTCCAGCGCGCTGTATTTGAGCATCCATGTGGTTAGTAAATTCCCGCAATTTTTAGGATCATAGAAGTAGCTAACCTTGTGAACCTGTCGGTACTTAGGCACGGTCTTGTCATCTGGTGATTCTGGGAAATCTTCATCCAAGGCTATAGCTTGTAAGATACGATAATGCCACTGAAGTGCTACAAATTAGTCAGTATCGTTCTCAACAAACCGTAGTGATAAAGGCTCACAAGGATTCGGGTATTTTGAAGGCTCATATACAGCCTTGGGAAGCTGCAACTGGCGAACAACATCTCGCATGGCGTCATTCAGCGCGTCTCCTGCCCGGTTGACAGTGCTCTCTGGATTTTGGCGCACATCATCCGCGAAAGGCAGAGGGATAATCCACATCCCAGGTGGGATTTTCTGCACACCATTCTCGTCGATCTTCTCAGCCCCGGCAATCATAGCAGCTAAAACTGGTGAGGCATTTTTGCGGGGAATGAACCAAACCAAGGCCAGTTTCTCGGAATCAAGGAGTTTCTGCTGCAATGCAGAAAATACTCGTGTTGAGCCAATGTAGTTCTCTTCAGAGGGATAGATGAAAGAGGGGTGTTTGACATTCGCCCAAATCGGGAGGGCTGACAGTGGCTTGAACCCAATGATACGGATCACAGGGTCACCAAAGCTCCTTAGAGCCTGTTGTTCTTCGACGGTGAATGAAACCTGCTCACCACCAAACTTGTATGCCTTCCGAATGTCAGCCTTCTCAATCTCCTGGCCTGTATCATCGGACATTAGAGTTGTGATGCCTTTAGCAATCTGAGCAGTCTCGCCTCCTTGCCAGACGAAGCAACTCCTGGCAGGTTCTTGCTTTTTGAGGAGCAAATATCCATTGACGGATATCTTGAAATCAGGTCCGATCTCAAGTGGCACATTTGAGAATAGCGACCGGCGGGGAACAGATCTCGAGTTGATGCTAGACAATAGAGAATTGAGCAATGAGAGTCCGTCACCTTTAGCTGTCGATGTACTGGTGTCCGGCTGTAGGTATGCCGGGGCATCTCCATCACTTGGTGATGTTTTGTAGATGATGTCCTGCTACTTGTGAGCATACTCCTATACAATCAAGGCTAATACCCTACATCGTAGAATTTAGAGGTGTCGAATTCGTGATCTGGTTGAGAGATGGGAAACAACTCGATGTTGACACCAAGATCGTACAAGTCCCTTGCACGAACTGTTGCGGCAGACCGCATTCCCTTATTGTCTGCGTGGGGATTATCGTTGTCGGTCACGACAAACAGTCGTCGAGATGAAAAGTTTGGAGCCTTCGAGGTAAAGATTTGGTTTGCGCAGAACAGCATATTGGCCATGGAGACTGGTTCCTTGGATGGTTCCAAGACCTGCCGCACGTCATCATCAGCTTCTGCGGGAGATGCGAGAGATCGCAGTTGCTTGACTTCCTGGGCTGATGGAACATCAAGATCAGTGTACAGATAACAGTGAGGATATGAAAGATCTCCTCGGTCATCCTCATTTTCATCATAGAACTTGGACGGTTGCGTCCCATAAAGCAGAACACCAATCATATCATGAGGGTTGGAGATGATGCGCTGTTGCATCAGATGGTATGCACACTTCAAAGCTGCAGACGCGGGTGATTCGTCGCTATGTTTCTTAGGATCAGGCGACGGACGAGGCGTGAGCATCGAACTGCTGATTTCTATGGCAAATAACACCGCATCTTTGACTGATTTGAAGCTCTATGTAGGCAACAGTCAACAGTCGGTAACTATATCTTCGGCTTTTGATACTCACGGTCTCATCGAGCTCTTCGTCCTCGTAATTCTCCTCCTCGCGCGTGTAGCTATCTTCAGCCATGATTGTGAAACGGGATACCTTGAAATATTGAAAATATTAAACAGTGGTAAGATAATCAAGTCTAAAATATCATCGAGACGCGCTCTCTGACGCGAGCAACACGAAAGTCAGGTGACGCTGATGCCTGAAGCTGCTGACATCCTCCGACGGTGATTGGTTCACGTCCCGTGGACGGCGGAAGCTACATGGGGCAACCAAAATCAGATTCAGCAACTCCGAGGTCCAAGGTGGACACAGGTTCGAATTGTCAATTTTCTCATTAATACCTTGATATTATTTTGTTGATCTGTTCCCACATATAATAGCTCCTCGACCCAACCATGGCATTCCGCAGCCCTTTCGCGATCCCCCGACAATTATTGGTTGGGACCACATCTCTTGGAGGTCGGTCGGCAATTAGCAGTCGATTGAGTTGCAATCAACGAGGTCTCGCGACGGTGGTACCGCCAGTAACACAAGATGCGACAGGGTCTAAGGGCCCAACGGCTATGGTTTTTATGAACATGGGTGGACCTTCTACAACGAACGAGGTGGAGGACTTTTTGAGTAGGCTATTTGTACGTGTCATGAATTGCCACAATGGTCATATTGAAATGATAGGCTAATGCTTTGAATTACAGGCCGACGGTGATTTGATTCCCTTAGGACGGCTCCAATCGTATATCGGCCCCCTCATCGCACGGCGCAGAACCTCGAAAATCCAAAAGCAGTATGCGGATATCGGCGGCGGATCGCCCATTCGGAAATGGTCCGAGTACCAGTGCGCAGAAATGTGCAAGCTGTTGGATAAGATCTCCCCGGAGACCGCGCCGCATAAGCCTTACGTTGCCTTCCGCTACGCTGCCCCATTGACCGAGACCATGTATGAGCAGCTTTTCGCCGATGGATTTGGCAATGGCAAGGGAGGACGTGCTGTCGCATTTACACAATACCCGCAGTACTCCTGTTCAACGACCGGCAGTTCCCTTAACGAACTGTGGAAGTGGCGTAATCGTCTCGAGGGAAAGCGCGCCAATGGAGGGTCCGAGCCGGCTGGCGCAATTCAATGGAGTGTCATCGACCGCTGGCCCTCTCACTCTGGTCTTGTGGAGGCTTTCGCACAAAATATCGAGGCTCAACTTAAAACATACCCAGAGGAGAAGCGGGACCAGGTCGTGTTGTTGTTTTCGGCCCACAGCTTGCCTATGAGCGTTGTTAACCGAGGTAGGCTGAGGTACCCTGGTCACTTACTAGAATCACACTAATTTTCCTCTCACACAGGCGACCCCTACCCCGCTGAAGTTGCAGCGACAGTTCACGCTGTAATGCAGCGACTCAAGTTCAAAAACCCCTACCGCCTGTGCTGGCAATCTCAGGTGGGACCTAGTGCGTGGCTCGGGGCTCAGACCAGCGATACTGTTCAAGAATATGTGAAACGAGGACAGACAGACTTGATCCTGGTCCCCATTGCGTTTACAAGTGACCACATTGAGACACTCTACGAGCTGGATCAGGAAGTTATCCATGAAGCTAACAACCCGGGTGTCAAGCGCGCAGAGAGCTTGAACGGAAACCCCGTCTTCATCCAGGCACTTGCCGATATTGCTCGCGAC